TTATATACAGTCGAAACATTTCGTTAAATGTTCAGGCGCAACCAACTTAATATGGACACACAATATTCAGGCGCAGCCAACTTAATATGGACACACAAATATTTTGGCGTTGCCAGACAGCCACAACTTACATTGCCATTGAGACCACCGCGACCAAAAAGCACACCCATATCCTTGCACGTCTCCCAGATGTCCAGCACATGAGGCGCAGCCAGAGGCGCACGTGTCTCCCGATCGTTGACCAGCTCGACGCCAATCATCAGTCCCTTGCCGCGCACATCGCCGATCAGCTCGAAGCGCTGTTGGAGTTCCTCCAAGCACTTGAGGAAATAGTTGCCCACCTCCAGGGAGTTGAGCTGCAGCTGCTCCTCCTCGATGACGTCCAACACGGCCATGCCCACGGCGCTGGCCATGGGATTACCGCCATAGGTATTGAAGTGCAATGCCATGCCCAGCGAGGCGGCGATCTCGGGCGTGGTGACGACTGCAGCCAGCGGGAAGCCGTTGCCAATGCCCTTGGCCATGGTAACAATGTCCGGTGTGTAGTCGTGCGCCTCGAAGCCCCAGAAATGGTCACCCGTGCGGCCAAAGCCTGTTTGCACCTCGTCCGCCACAAAGAGTCCGCCATTGGCACGAACCAGCGCTGCCGCTCGCTTCAGGTAACCCTTGGGGAACTGCACTGTGCCGCCGACGCCCTGAATGGACTCGGCGAACATGGCGGCCACCTTGCCGCGGGGCAGCGAGTACTTGAACGTCTGCTCCAGCTCATTGTAGTAATTCGTGCCCGCCTGGCAATTGTCTGGCGCGCAACTGCAGCTGCGCGTTGTCTGCACGGGCGAATCCCGACAAGCCGAGCCGCCCCAGATGCCCTGATACGGATCCGGATTCATGACATGCAGGATGCCATTGTTCACACCCGGCAGCGGATATCGCCACGTGGAGTGTGCCGTCAGACCCATTGTGTAGGGCGACATGCCATGGTAGGCATTGCGGAAGGTTAATATATCCTGGTTGCCGGTATGAAGACGTGCCATTAGCATGGCCAGATCATTGGCCTCCGAGCCGGAATTGACAAAGCACACGGCCTTCAGATTGCCCGGAAACTTGGCTGCCAAACGCTCGGCATACTCGTGAATCTTGGGATGCATATAAATGTTGGTCGTGTGCCACAGCTTGGAGATTTGCTCACTCAGCGCCTGGTTTACTTTGCTGGCGGATATATAGAGCTCTTATAATGGATCAAATGACGCGTGCAGCGCACACTTACGGATGACAGTGGCCCACGGAGACGGTAACAATGCCGCCGAACATGTCCAGATAGCGACGACCCTCGTGATCGTACAGCCACTGCATGTGGCCCGCGTGAATGACCAGCGGCTTCTTGAAGTGTGCCACCAAATTGGGCGTCAGATGGTTCTTGCGCGTTTCCAGAATTTGCTCGTAGCTGGGCCCATTGTACGCCGCCGGACGATGCTCACATTCGGGCATCTCGATCTGTGGCTGCGACATGACCGCCGGCGCCGCCTTCGAGTGCAATGTGGAGCTGGTGCGGATCAGCTTGCGTGTTGTCTGAGCTGCTGGGCAGAGAGAAGCAGCAAGATAAGTTTCAAGTGCAGAAGATGAAATCTCAATTAGCAGGAAATCATTAGCTATTTCAATCTCTTAAGCAATGTTGATTTGAATATTGTTTTATTTTATGAGAACTTGGGGACTTTTTCATTAATATTTATATAATTTCAGGGCATTAATAATACATTTTTGATTAATAGATATGATCCAATTATAAATAGGCAATATCTTATCTACATCGGAACATTATATCCTAAAGCTGTCAAAGGAACTATCAATGATCTATAATTTAGTTCTGATATGGAAAAACTTCTCATTTATTAAGAGAAGACATTAACTATCCAAATATGTTTTTAAAGATATTCCTCATAAATCTACAAAATGGTTAGGAACATTTTTATAAGGGCGTTCCGAAGATATCCTTGTTTTCTTTTTTTATTATGTAAAAGATTATTAAGTTAATGAACTATTTCAGCAAAAACTTGCCCTCAAAACTTTGTCAGCTATTAAAAAAACAAACATCTTTCAAGAAATCTCCATTAGAAAAATGTAATTATTTCAGGTAGGTCAAGCGTGAGAGCCGTTAGAAATAACGACAAAGAAACTCAGAACACGTGACATTCAGTTAATATATTTAAATGAACTCAAGCAAAGAGTACAGCTCGGTGTCTGAATGGTTCATAAGTAAATAAATAAATAAATGGAACGTTTGAGAATGCAAATTGACAATGTTCAAGCGCCAGGCGAATTGTGGACGAGGGGCAAACCGAGAGAGGCGCTAAATAAATTGAAATCGAGACAGTGCAACCAAACCCATTTGTCTGGTTTGAACCCGCTTGAGACGCAGTTTCCGATCCGGCTATACCATATAAGGTCTGTGCCGATATCTTGGTAATGGGATCGCCAATGTGCATACTCAATGAGTTGTGCACAACAAAACTGGGAAATTGCATTTTCCATTGTTATTGTTGCGTAATTTGAGTGAATTGTCGATTAATGCGCACATATTTCTAGGGTCTTGGGTTCCTTAAACAATTGCATTTAATTAAATCTTTAACCTTAAATTCATTTAAACACTTCGATAGAGTTTAATGTAATGAAAATACGAATTGGCCAACTATCGAATACCCTTTGATAAAATGTTTATAAAATAACATAAATTTGCAAGTTTCTCAATGTGAGTTTTACATTAAAGAACGTTGGATAGAATTCCATTAAATTCAGTTCCTGGATATGTTATATATATCAAATTTCATGAATACAACTTTCAAACTTAAACAGTTCATATAGATAACTAAACCCTTAGTTGGTCAGGCTATTCGAATTTTTAATACATTTAATAATATTTTGCTCAAATTAAGTGAGTAGCTGATAATAGCCTCGACAAGGGTATAATAAAAGAACATTCGATGCTCGGCAACCTGTCCTAAGGTAACAATTTATTAAAGTAATTAGACGCAATGGCCCCCCCCGGACAAGTGCAAGCTTATCTCTCGCTCGCTTATCAATGGAAAACAACAACAACAAGAGCACCTGCCCAATTATCAGCCGCGGCGGCTTATCACACGCTGTCCACGCAAGCCGGCGTGATTAGTTGTTGGTGCTGCGAGAGATTGCAGGGTATTTGTTTAGTCTCATATCACGTTTCGTTACGTTTATGTGCGCAGTTTGCAATCGGTCGAAAAGGTCAACAAACATTTCTATTAATGTTGAATTTGAATGAATATTAGAATGAAAAGCTGACAAAGTGATAGCAGGAATACCTGCGCAGGTGTTTCGTTGAGTTGATTAAACTTATACCCTACAAACTAGGCATTAGGCATTAGTTAGACATTGGGAAGAAAAGAAGAAAAATCTGCTAGAAATTTTGCACAATTTTTGCACAAATTTCAAGTGCAGCTAAAACTGTTTGTAAAATGTTTATTTAACAATATCAACAGAATATTGAAAATGGGATGAAATTTGTTCATAACCAAAAATATATTTATTGATAAGCTTGCTTTAAATTTATGAGCATGCAGTGGAGGTCACAGAGTAGTCCAATTAAATGATTATACGAATAATAATTTGCCCCACATAAACATGTGCTAAAAATACAAATTCAAATTTAAGATAATCAAAATTTATTCGTCGCAAACATTGTTGTTTTCCTCTTGCGGGTGGTAAAGCAATTAAGAGTCCACACTTTGCGTTTTTCTTTTTTTAATTACAAATTCTTTAAACGTAAACTGTGATAAACACAATCATGCTTGTATCTACACAATGTTATTATTTATATATATTATAAGGCAACATTTGCACTCACCCAATAATCTCTTTGACATCATGTTGTCTGTTCTGTAATAATTTACAGCTGTTAATTTCCTGATGTTAATGCAAATGCTGCAAGTTAATGCGCTCCACTTCCTGATTATTGTGTCGACTTGTTTAGACTTTTACAAATTTGTTTTTGCACTGGAAACTGTAAAACATAAAACTGTTATTGGCCGCCGATCTCGCACGAATCAAATGGAATCGGTCCGCGCGTAACGACGTCAAAACCCCAACTGAACAAAATGTAATGCAAATCCAGTGCACGGCTGTCGCTGGAATAGTAAACAATGCCCAATCGGCTGGAAAATGGAAGAGCGCGAGAGAGACTGTGAGAGAGTATGCGAGTACGTCTGTGTGTGTGTGTTATACAGAGATGTCTTATCTATTGGACGCGCTACAATGTCAAGGCTGGGCTCTCGGCGGGTTATCAATCAATGTCTTTTACAGGTAAGTGAGCAAAATATGATCTACTCTCACTTTTGATTCGTAGCAATTACTTCTTCTCACACATAAAGTTTTACAAAACATAATGATCTGTTTCGATTTAACAGAATATTTTGTTCTAATCCCAATTAAATTTAAAAGAAAAGTAATAATTTTTTGCTCAGAAATTTATTTCATTTGTTGATTGAAGCACAAACTACGAACACAAGTGCACAGATTCTTGTTCTCTATTATTTATTTAAATATAATTTTGTTTTTAACAAAATATATGTGTATATATGGATTCTTTGATCCAAAGTGTTTGCTGCAGTGGATCGTTTAATTGTTAATTAATTCCCTTGTTAGCAGATTTAATATTTCGATATTATTTAATTTTGCATTTCGAAATGCAACTGTGCCGTGTGTTTAGTTTATTTTTGTTGATTTTGCATTTTGCACTAATTTACAATTATTATTTTCGATAATTTTTTATAAACATTCGCTTTTTTATACAACAAAATTAAAATATATTCTACACTTTGTTATAGTATAATTTATATATATATATATCCGGTAATTCAATCAACATCACAAGTCTGCGCTTTGATGCTCCGTTTCCGTCGCCTCCATTGCCTCCACTTCGAATCCTTCGCAATACACTTATTTGTATATAGATATATATATATATATATATGTGAATATATATAGCTCGATATAAAAGGGTTTTCGGTTGCTAAAAACAAGCGCTAGGTGGCGTAGGTTGGGCGGCTTACAAATAACAAAACTGAATCAATTTGAGTAAAAAGCACACACAGCATCAACAACAACTGCACCCAAAACAAGCCTCCTCGCCTAATTAAAGTCGGTGTACGAGTCCGAGTTGGGGCTACGGGGCGTGGCCGCTGGCGCCGTTGGCTGTTCCAGGCTGGCAGCCATTTGGCGTAGATTATCCACGCCTGCCAGTAATTGCCTGTGGCAATGAGAAGGAAAGATTATAGCGCTGTGTGTGGTCCAAGTGTGTGTCGAGAACTCACCTCAAATTCTGCTCTGCATTGTCGGCGGCGCGCAGCAAATCGCGCGACAATTGATGCGTTCTGGACGGACGCGATGTGTTGCTGCTGCTGCTGTGGCTGCTGCCCGGCGTCATTACCGAAGCCCCACCGGCTGCGGCTGCGGCTGCTGCACCACCCGACACCGGATCAGTGCTGCCGCGCAGCTCAAAAAGCTCCGCCTTAAAAATATGTTCAATTCTATCAAAATTTGAATCAATGATGGAAAATATTAGAGAAATTCACCTCCAGCTGTGCCACTTGACGTCGCAGACGTTGCGTAGTTTGTATCTGGGCCGTGGCTGCCAGTGTTTCGCGCCGTCGCGCATCGGCCAGTGCCAGCAGCTGCTGCTCGAACTCCTGTGCGCGACGCGTTTGAACATTCAGCTCGACACGGGTCTCCTGCAGCTCGCGTTGCAGTCGCTCGTTCTCCTGGCGCAGCGTGGACGTGCCTGCATCGGCCTCCTGCGGCGGCGAGTCTATGGAATTCGAGGGCAACCCAATAGCCACATCTGCCAGACGCTGGGACGAGTGCAGGATGGGGCCGTCGGACAGAAAATCGGGCAGCATTTTACCCGTCGAGCCAGCTGCCTCGCCGCCAGGCGCTGACAGCGTCGAGACGCTGGGTAGGCCAGCGGCCACGGCGGCTGGCAATAGCAGGGATCCGCCGCCCATAGCACCGCTGCAGCTGGGCGCCTCCGCAGCGCCCAGTGGCGAATTGGGCGGCGAACTGAGATGCGCCTCCTGGCACCAGGCGTCCGGCAAATGATCCTGCACAAAGTCTGGCAGAGCCGATGCGGCGCCAGCCACGTTTGACGCGTCCAGCGGCAGATCGAGCTTCATTTTGGCAGCCGAAGCCAGAACCAATCGGTTCGGACGCAGCGCAGCGCGACGACGGGGCGATGCTGCGGCGCAAGCAGCCTGCGGCGGCATATCATAGCTGGAATAGGAGCGCGGCACGTAACGCGAGCTGCTTGCCGATGCATGCAAATTCGAGGCTGCCGACGGAAATATGTCTAAGCAGAAGAAATCGGAAATGATGCCAAGCGATATTAGAAGCAACTTTTTACTGTGGGCAGCTACTCACCATCATCGGCACGCTCATCGTAGAGGCGACTGTTTCGAACTTGGGCCAGGCCCACATGATCGTAGTCGTCGTCACAGTCCAACATAACACCACTGCGTTCCACCTCGAGACGCAGATCCGGCCGTAGTCGAGTGCCGGAACTGGAGCTGCCGCCGGTGCCTGTGCCGCCGCTACATGCCGCATACTCGGCCAGACTCGCCTGCGAGTCAAAGGAACTGAAACGCGGCGAACGTTTCATTTTGGAGGCGGCGCTGCCATTCAAATCCGGCTGCATGTGGCTAACTGACGCCGATTGCGGCACTTTCGGCCTTGCGCCCGTCGACGTTTGCAGCGACGTTGACGTTGCCGGCGCCGTAACACTTGTGTTGCTGTTGCTGCAGCCGCCGGCACTGTTGCTGCTCGGGCCGACCGCTGGATCCAGGGATGTTACTGTGCTGCTTGGCGCTATTATTGTGCCGCTGCTATTGAGAAAGTGCTTAAAGGAAAACGTAGATGTGGAGGTGGAAGAGCCAACATTCGAACTGAGCGTCGCACTTGTTGTTGCCGTTGCGTTCGCTGCGCTCGCTGTTGCTGCTGCTGCGCCAGTTGTGGCCCGGATATTTGTGTAGTCGCCGCGACTGCTGCTGCTCGCGCTGCCATTGAGCCACAAGTCTGCGACCAAATCATTGACGTTGCTAGCGCGCGCGCTTGCCGGCAGCTTAACATCGCCGCAGGCTCCACTGCCGTCGCCGGTCAGGTGCTGTTGCTCTTGTGCTGTTGCCGTTGCAGCCGCCGCCGCAGCAGCAGCAGCAGCATCGTCCGTATTGATATTGTTCCCATTGCCATTGGCCATTTAAAGTTCGCCAGCCGCCGATAATCGCTAAATAGTTTTGTCAGCTCGTTTCCTGATGTTCTCGGCCGATATTCTGTGGCTTTGTTGTGTGTGCCTTTTGTGGGCTTATGTGTTGTTTTTCGCTACAAATTTAGTTAATTTGGCGTTGCATTTCTCTGCCGACTTTTCACTAGAGTTGTTGTTGCTTAGAGCTGGACACTAACGATTCCCTGCATTCTTTGCTGTTATCGATATTCGAGGGTGGCCTATCGATAGTTATTTTGAATGAGCGCAAAATTAAAGCCAAGATATTTGTTATAAAATGACAGCAATAGGTATTACATTCTAAAAATTTGAATTGAAAAGTATATTGTGCCCCAATACTGTCTTTTTTATTTACAAACATATGATTTATTGTTGGTATTTTTAACTGACTAAAGTGCGTTTAAATACTAACAGCTGAATTGAATAGTTGCATTTCAGCTCTTGACGTTGTGATATTTCACGTTTACCCACATACGTTCACATTGCTCTCGTGGTTTTTGTTTTGTCTTCGTACTGCTTGCCTATTGCTTCCGAGGAGAACGGCGATTTCGGGCATAAACGTTGCTAATTGGCGCAATATATGCATAATTAATGTAATAAAAAGCGAAAGGCGAACGTGTACGTTTTGTGTAAATAATGAAAAAAAAAAGTGAATGTTGCAACGATAAATAATTAAATACGAAACCATATACCAAACAACTAATAACAAAAACAGTGCAAGGGCGGCGTAAAGAAAGTGGAAAAGAAAATTCTGCGTAGCAAACAAACCGGTCGGCGGGCAACATACATACATACATACAAATACATACGAAAACGTCGTCAATATATCGTATGCAAAAGACGCATTTTGAACACAAAAAAAAAAATAAAACAACTCGTATGCTCAAAAAGTAAAAACGTACGCAAATAATACAATATACACATACAAATATCACACAGTGTTTTCCACAGTTTTATATTTGCGCTGACCAAACGAAAACGCAAAAGGCGGCCGCCATATGCGACTGCGACTTGGATTGCTGTTGCTGCTGCGGGGGTGACAGCGCCAGCGGCGTACCAAAGGTGGTGAGAGCCACAGCCAGAGCTGAAACGACGCTCACCTTTCGCGTATTGTAAATTGTTTTTACAAACACACGCAAAGTAACCCCTCCAAACGAGCGACCGACCGACCGACCGCCCGCCCGCCCGGCCTCGCTGCAACAGCTTCGTGTGTTCCACTTTTGTTAGGCAGCGCCCCTTTTGCTAATATGCACGCTGTCCTGATTTGATGCAATAAACAGAGAGGCCGAGAGAGAGAGAGAGAGAGAGAGGACTAAATAGTGAAAATGTATTAGTATTAGTGATCAGCAGCAGCAACAGCAGCAGCTTTTCAAGCTAAGCTCATTCTCTTGCAAAAAAGAGAGCATCACTTGGTGGCCATGTATTAGTGATCAGGAGCAGCTTTCCCAGCTAAATTCACGCTTGTACTCTTGTACTCTCCTCTGTGTTTGTGTGTGTGTGTGTGTGTGTGTATGTGCCAATTTACATTTTTATAAAATGCAACGGAGCAAGAGCGAATCCAGCAGGCAGGTAAGTTCCAATTAGGACTTGGCTAAACACAAGTGCCTATCCATTCATCCTTCCATCCATGCATCCATGCATCCAGTCATGTTTCTGTTTTTTTTCTTCTATTTTTTTTTTTTTTTTCTGTGGGGTTGTTTCAATCTCTTCTATTCAACTTGGCAGCAGCCGCCTGGCCACGGCCCCATTTATTGACTTGTCTACATTTCTTCTTCGCCTTTTGCTGCTGTGTCTGTCATTGCCGCAGCCGTCCCTTTCCACTGTTCCGCTTTTGTATACAAATTATGGTGCGCGCTTTGCTGCTTGTTGTTCTTGTTTTTACAGTTGTTGTTGTTTTAAGCTTTTATGGCATTCGCTGCTGCGTCGTGCATTCCACTCATTTGTTGTTTTTATTGTTGCTGTCGGTACATACAAACATATATAGTGTAAACGTTATAAATATAGATTTCAATTTGCGTTTACCGCATTCGAAATTGATTTTGGTTTTGGCCCACAGTTAATAATTGCCCCCCCTTCTCCTACCTCACCGGTCAATGAGCCAAGAAAAGTGAAAGATGAACTGGGTCGAGCGGCTGGCTTGGAAGCGGGCTAGTGGGGTGTTATATACAAATATCGTTTGCACCTCTGCCCTAACCTGGCGGCGTCTTCAGCTGCTGCTAATTCAATTAACATTTAGCTTCAATACTCGACCGGCCATCTTCGACCTCCCGCCTGTCTCCACCCCACCCGCTACAAATTGTTGACCCATTTCGGGTACTTCTTGGTTTTGTTCTGCTGTTAATTAATATTTGTAATTTTCGTGTTTCCCTCAGCTTGTTCGTTGGCCGCGATAAGCAGCTGGAAATTAACAGTTTATACGACGTGAAGCTTTATGGTTTCATTATCTCTTCTTTGGATTGGCCGCTACACTTATGGCTCGCAGTGCGGGGGAGTGGGTGCGCTTGGAGGTGGAGGTTTATTTGTATACCCTGTAGATCGGTCAAAGGGGTATATTGGTTATTTACAAACGAATGCAACTGGCAGAAGGCGGCATCGTCAACCCCATAGGATACACATTATCTCGAACAGAGTAACATGCTGATATTTATAAGATATTTATTTTTACCTTTTTTATGTTTATAAGAGCGGGAGACATAAAATTGGGTTTAAAGGTTTTCTTACTTTTTAGTTAACTTCCTAGATATATCTTCCAATCCGGGCAAAATAGAACAAAGGAATCTAATTTTAAAGAGTATTGCCAATTTCTGATTTGAATACCATCTTTAGCCTTGCATTTCATTATTATTTGTTGTTACAGGGTATTTGCTAGTCGGGCTCATGCGACAAGTAGCACTTTTTATTGTTGCTGTTGTATTTGTGTGGGTTGTGCTTACGTGATTAAGTGTCGCATTCGACAATCAATAGCAGCACTCACGGTTTATTCATTTTCCATTTTCTGTGAGTTTGCTTTTGAATGACACTTTTCCAGTTTTCACCAACGTTTTACGAGGTTTTCTAAGCTACACAATGTCTTTTTGCAAATTGTTTTTCAGTTTCAATAACACGCACTATCCCTCTCTCGCTCTCTCTTACTTTCTCTCTGGTGAACATGGCCTTTCTATGCGATTTTCATGAGTTCAGCTAGCGCTTACGTAGTTTGCTGTTTCTTCGGGAATAAGTTTATATAACTGTGGCACTTAAAGCCACCAAATGTGCATCTGTCTTCTAAATAAATAAGCTTTTTAATCAGTGAGATTAATTTTAATTAAGTGACAATTGTCCTTATCGGAGCTTTAAACTACATTGAAAGCTTTCGTAGGATTAAGTATTAGCTTCGTTTGAATATAATGTTTGCTGAACAAAAATGGTGTGGAATAAAGGATTAAAGTAAAGTGTTGAATTAAATTACATGCCTCGCATTTCGCTCTTTGCCTTCCTCCGCTATTGACAGTCGGCTAATTGCTTGGGACGATTAAATGTACAGGTATCCGTTTGTGCTGCGCCAATTGCCATTTCCAATTTGCAACGTGTTTTATTTCTATGGATTCCTTTTTGTTTTTATTGCAATTCAATTTATTCTCTTCCATTTTTGTAGCTCTTGACGCTGCCCGCGAGTGCGGCGCAAGCATAGAAGAGTCGCCTGGCAGCGAGAGCAGTAGAAGCAGGAGCAGGAGCTGGAGCAGAGGACGGTCGGGATTCAAATGTCGTCGTCGAGCAACGGCGGCATCAATAGTGCCACAAATGGCCGCAGTGGCAGCACTGGCAGCGCCAATATAAGCCTCAATCTGAAGGCCAAATCGGGAACAACAACAACAACAACAACAAACACGACAACGACACACAAGACTTTGCCGGATCTGAAGACGCAACGGAGCAACAGCAGCGTCGGCAGCGGCATCGGCATCGGAGTCGTGGCCAAAACCTTGGCCACACATCGACGCGACAGCTCGCATGTGGAGAAGTCTCTGCTGCCGGAGCGGTCGCTCAGCTATGGGCCACCGCAGCAGAGCAAGGCGCTCGGGCTGAGCAGGGAACCCAGGGAGGGACATCTGGTCTACTGTGAGGGTAAGCTGCATTCGGGCACGCTGCAGTCCCTCATCATGCACATGGTGCCCACGCATGACTACTATCCGGAGCACGGTTATCTATTTGCGTTTCTGTTAAGCGGACGCTTGTTCATACGGCCATACGAGCTGCTCGCGCAGATCTCTAGCAACTGGGAGCAGCAGCAGCAACAGCAGGCAGCCGGCGGCGGCTGCGATGTGGTCGATGATGCAGTGGCTCAGCCGCCTGCGCTATCGCTGCACTTGAACTCCGCCTCGCCGCTGACACAGCGCAAGGGCGCAGCGGCTGGCGGCCAGGAGCTGGAACTGGAACCGAAGCCGCAGCAGCGCACATTGACGCAACGTTCGGCGCAGCATTGCATACGTTTGCTATCCGAGTGGATTGAGATCTTTCCATATGACTTTCGGGATGAGCGCCTTATGCAGCAGGTGCGCATACTGGCCAGAAAATGTGTCTACATTGACAACTCGCTGGGCAAGCAGGTGTCGCGCATATTGCAGCTGCTCGTCGCACGCCTGAAGGCTCTGGAGCAGTACGAGGAATTTCTGCAGACGCTCAGCAACGAGGCTATCGAACAGCAGACCCAAGGCCAGCAGCAGCATCAGCAGCAGCAACAACAACTACATCATCATCAGCATCATCTGCATTTGCATAATCCGTTTCAAACGTTTCTGGGCAGCTCCCATGTTTCGGCGAGTGGCCACACAACAACGAATGGAACTGCAACGAGCGGCGGCTCCGCGAGCAGCGGCAATTCCACAAATAGTGGCAGCAACTCCGCCTCCAGCACTCCGCAGCCAGACGAGGTATTTGGCATTATGGATCTTTGTCCCAGCTGCGAGCACTTGGCCCATCAGCTAACGGCCATCGAATTGGAGCGTCTGTCGCATATTGGACCCGAGGAGTTTGTGCAGGCCTTTGCCAAGGATTATCAGCAGGCCAAATGCGCATCAGCCACGGGCAACGCGCCCGTCGATGCGGCCGCGGCCCCGGGTGCGGTAAGCGGCTCCTTGAACGATATGAAGAAGACACGCAATTTGGAATCGTATGTGCAGTGGTTCAATCGCCTCAGCTACTTGACGGCCAGCGAAATTGTTAAGGTGGGTGGAGTGGGGAGCGGGCAGTGGGAGGGATTAGCGAGTGCTTAAATTGATTGCATGGCTGCAGGGATGAAAATGATGCGAGTAATAAACGTATGGAAA